TCTTCCATCACCCTCCTGATCTGCTGGGGTGTAGGATTCAGGTCTGGCGTCCTTTGCAGAAATAGAAATGCAAGTTACACCCAGGGTCCTCTGGAGATGAACTGTTAAAGACAGGGGCCCTTGGGGGAGAGGGCATGGAGGACACCTAGCCTGAGCATGTCCCTGCCTTCCCTGGCAGTCTGGCCAACATTCCACTGACCCCTGAGACTCAGCGGGACCAGGAGCGGCGGATTCGGAGGGAGATTGCCAACAGCAACGAGCGGAGGCGCATGCAGAGCATCAATGCAGGCTTCCAGTCCCTCAAGACCCTCATCCCCCACACAGATGGAGAGAAGCTCAGCAAGGTGGGCGAGGGCTGGGAGGGCTTCCTGGAGGAGGAGATGGGCTCCAGCAGGGAGAAGGCAGTGAGCTTCAGTAGACGCAGCCAGCTGGGGCCCCTGACTTGTCCCTCCTACCCTTAGGCAGCCATTCTCCAGCAGACGGCGGAGTACATCTTCTCCTTGGAGCAGGAGAAGACCAGGCTTCTGCAGCAGAACACACAGCTCAAGCGCTTCATCCAGGTAGCCCCTGCCGAGGCCTCCCGTCACCTCAACACCTGTCCTCCTCCTGGCTCCCTCTCCCTGGCATGGGCATGTCTGGGCTCCCCACTGGCCTGGGACTCTGAGGCCACAGGTCCCGCCTTCCCCACTGACACGCCCACTTCAGGTCCTTGCCTTCCTGCCTGGGCTTCAGTTTACCCATCCATGAAGTGCAGTTGAGGGGCTCCGAGAGGAACCGGGTGACCTTTGGCAAGCAGGTCCATTCTGCCTCTGTGTCCAGCCTGTGGCCATGGTTGGATTTGCAGAGTGGGGCTCCCAGTGCCCAGAGCACCTGGGTTGACAGCTTTGGGGGTCTGTGATGGAGCCCTCCAACTTCCCCATTGATGGTGGTGATACGAGGGTGTCAAGGCACACTCACCAACTCCTTGGGGTCCCCAGGAGCTGAGCGGCTCGTCCCCCAAGCGGCGGCGGGCAGAGGACAAGGACGAGGGCATCGGCTCACCAGACATCTGGGAGGATGAAAAGGCGGAAGATCTACGGCGGGAGATGATTGAGCTGCGGCAGCAGCTGGACAAGGAGCGCTCGGTGCGCATGATGCTGGAGGAGCAGGTAAGGCAGGCAGGCGGGTGGGGTGGGGGTTTCCAGTCCCTCTCTCCCTTTCCCCCTATCCCTGCTTCCCTGGAACGCCTGCTTTGTGCCAGGTTTAGGAATAGGGGGTGGGGGTCCAGTGGGGATTGAACCAGGTAGGTGCCTGCCCTCAGGGGTCACCATCTGTGTTGGGTAGGAGGATTAGTCAAAGGACCTTACACTGTAAAAATGCAGCTGTGAAAAAGGTCCTGCAGGAAGCATGGGCATTGGGAGGGGGATTTGGACTGGTTCTGCCCCACAGCTTCTCTGTCAAAGTGACTTGAGCCGAGGGTGGGAGGTTGGCCAGGAGTGGGTCCCGTCTTACAATTAACCAGGCAGAGAGGGGAGAAGGGTACTCCAGGCAGAAGGAAGAGCATGAGAAAAGCCCTGAGGCTGCAGGGAGGGAGTGAAGGAGTGAGGGAGGTCATGGTAGGAGAGGAGATGAGTCAGAGAGGACCTGGTGGGCTATGGTAGGACTTTGGTCTCTTCCCCAGGATGACAGGCTCCGGCTGGGGTTTGTAGCAGGAGAGAATGGCCTGTTTGGCAAGGGTAGAGCATGGGGAGGCTGGCCTCAGCAGCCCTGAGGGCCCGGCACTGGAGGTGGTGCAAGGGTGTGGTCCGGGCCCTGCCCTGAGCCTGCTCTCCCCTCAGGTTCGCTCGTTGGAGGCCCACATGTACCCTGAGAAGCTCAAGGTGATTGCACAGCAGGTGCAGCTGCAGCAGCAGCAAGAGCAGGTGCGACTGCTGCACCAGGAGAAGCTGGAGCGGGAGCAGCACCTGCGGACCCAGGTGGGCAGGTGGCCTTGGGTGGGGCTGTGGGCTCTGGCAGGGCAGGGCCTACATCAGTGATGGCAAACCTTTTGAGCTCGGCGTGTCAGCATTTTGAAAAACCGTAACTTAACTCTGGTGCCCTGTCACATATGGAAATTTTTTGATGTTTGCAACCATAGTTAAACAAAGAGTTATATTTTTGATATTTATTTAAATGCCATTTAACAAAGAAAAATCAACCAAAAAAAATGAGTTCGCGTGTCCCCTCTGACACGCATGTCATAGGTTTGCCATCACTGGCCTGCATTGTAATAATGCAGACATTCTTGGCTCCCAGGTATCTTATAGACATTATTACATGAATCCTTGTAGAAGCCCTTTGAGGCTCTTCTACTGATCAGGAAAGTGAGGCACAGAAAGGCTAAATAACTTGAACCCTGGCTGTCTAAATCCAAAATCTGTATTCCCGACCACCACTGCATTAGATGTTGGAGTGCTTGCTTGGTGCTGGACAGTGAAGGGGCCACACGTTCTTGGATGTCTGGGAGCCCCTCTTTAGGCTGCCTTTTCTTTGCTGCTTAAAATAAGGGCGGCCAAACTGGCTGGCCTCCTATCAGTGGTTGGCAGAGGCTCTCTCGAAGCAATGGGCAGAGGGAGATGGGTTTGGAGGGCATCCTACACCCTCTGTGACCTCCCGAAGGGAAGGGGAAGCTTCCTGAACCTTTGGAGAAAGACTGAGAGCCTCTGTCTCACAGCTCCTGCCCCCTCCGGCCCCCACCCACCACCCCACGGTGATCGTGCCAGCACCGCCACCCCCTCCCTCCCACCACATCAACGTCGTCACCATGGGCCCCTCCTCGGTCATCAACTCTGTTTCCACGTCCCGGCAAAATCTGGACACCATCGTGCAGGTACCTGGTCTCGGGAAGGAGGCAGCATGTCAGGGTTGTCCTCCGGGAACAGGCCCTTTGGGAGGCATTAGGAAGCAGGGACTGAAGGGGAACGAGACAGGGCTGTGTGGGGGAGGCTGGGAAGCTGGGTGTGTGTGTCTGTCTCCATCCCCGAGTCTCCCTCTCTGTTTGCAGGGGTTGGAGGGGGAGCTCTGTGAAGGTGAGGGGTAGAGATGGGGGACAGGCTGCCCCGGAAAACCTTGTTCCTTCCCTCCACGTGGGATTTGTTGAGAGGGTCTTTCGCTATCGCAGCTCCCGGCTTCCAGAATTCCTCCATCCAGCTCTTGGTCCAGAATTTCCTTTCACCTCCATCTCCTAGGACCTGAGATGGGGATGGAGGTGGCAGTGGCTTGGAGGGTGACAGTTAAGCCTCTTACAGAGGTGACAGCTCTGTGCATCAGGCCCAAAGTCACTGCTGTACGCAGCCTGGGGCAGAGACCCCTGGGGAGTCCCAGTGGCATCATCTCTATATATAAAAGCTTAAGCGACCGTTCGACCGTTCGACCATTTGACCGTTCGACCATTCAACTGGTAGCTATGATGCGCACTGACCACCAGGGGGCAGATGCTCAATGCACAGGCATGGAAACATGGAACAGACTGATGAATCTCAGAGGAGGGAGGGTGGAAAGAGATTAATCAAAGATCTTTCTAGAGGCCCAGTGCATGAAATCGTGTATGGGTAGGTTCCCTAGCAGCTGTCGGCCACTGGCTGGGGCCTCCCTTCCCTGGCTTCCTGCCAGGGCCTTCCTTTGTTCTATTCCGCCCCCTGATGGTCAGTGCATGTCATAGCGAGTGATGGAACTCCTGGTTGGTCAAACTCCCAAGGGGACACTTTGCATATTAGGCTTTTATATATATAGAAGACTAGAGGCCTGGTGCACGGATTCATGCACTGGTGGGGTCCCTCGGCCTGGCCTGCGGGGATCAGGCTGAAACCAGCAGTCTGACATCCCCCAAGGGGTTCCGGATAGTGAGAGGGTGCAGGCCAGGCCAAGGGACCTCAAGGGCCTCTAGTAAAAGAAATAAACAAAAGAAATAAAAAAAGTCCATTAATCTCTGGACCTTTAGTTGCACATAATTCCAGCAAATTGAATAGTGAAATTAATAACAAAGACCTTTTATCAGTGAACAGGCCAACTTTGAAATATATAAATAAGTGAAAGATGCTGGTGACCTCCAAGCAGACCTGCACTGTCATCTCCAAGGGGTTTTTCAGCTCAGCAAAGGGGTTTACTAACCTGACTCTGGTGGGCTGCCTGGTGCTCTACCAGACTTACTTCTGGACCTTTCTGGGGTGTGTGTGTGTGTGTGTGTGTGTGTGTGTGTGAGGGGAGATGGTGGTTGGCTGTGTCCCTCCAGCCATCCTCACCGCAGCCTGTCCCCCCAGGCGATCCAGCACATCGAGGGCACCCAGGAAAGGCAGGAGCAGGAGGAGGAGCAGCGGCGAGCTGTAATTGTGAAGCCAGTCCGGAGCTGCCCGGAGGCCCAGGCCTCTGACACTGCCTCCGATTCGGAGGCCTCGGACAGCGACACCATGGACCAGAGCCGGGAGGAGCCGGCTGGGACTGGGGGGCTTCCCTGACCACCCCCCAGCCCTCCTCTCCCTTCTTGGGGTTAGAGGGGGCCGGGGCAGCAACAGGAATACACGCGGGCCAGCGAGTGAGGAATTTTTACAAAATTACAATGTCATTTGGGTCTCTTTTATGACCTCTTTTTCAATACTGTAAGTCAACCTTTGAGTGAAGGCCACCCAACCTGAGGTACTGGGGGCTGGGTGGTGGGTGTTGTGGGAGCACCGGGACACCTGGGGCTGGGCCTCACCCGGGGGGGCTGGGGAAGCTGACACTTGAGGTGCCTGGCCTCTCTCTGCCAAAAAGCATTTTTTTTTTTTTCATTAAACATGTTTTTAAGAACAGGGAAAATCAAAACCCCAACGTATTTCTGCCCTCCCCAGAGCCAGCTCTGTGACCATGTTTCTAACTCCCCCTTCCCTCCTCTTTTTGGTTTTCTTCTTTCTCTAAGCACTTAATGGGTTGGGGGTCTGGCTGGGTTAGGACTCTCTGGGGGTCTGGGGTGGAAGTTGCTTCTCCGTTGGGGTTTGCTGCTGCCCTTTTGCCCTGCCCTTCCATCCCTGCCCCACCTCAGCACTAGGATTTGCCACTCTCCACCACCAGCCGGCCTCCACCTCTCCCTCCAGGTTTCCCATTTTTAACCCCCAGAAATGTCTTTGTCTCTCTGTTCTGTTTGTTGGGTTTTTCTTTTTCCCCCCTTTGTTTGTTTTTTGTTTTTCTTTATTTTTTTGTTTTTTTTTATAACAATTTCGAGGTCTTTGTGTTCAAGGAGAGCTATTATATTTTGTTAAGAAAGTGTGTGTGGGGGGAACCAAGAGGCCACCATGCCTTTATAAAGAAAAAATAAAGTTTGTACTTTGTTTTTTAGATTGTGTCTCCTGGATGTGTGGTATCCTGCGTTGCTGGGGAAGACTGACTGGACTAGATAGAGTATGGGATGCTGTTTGGACCCACCAGAGGGGATTATTTGTGTGTGTGGTGTTGCAATGAAAAATCAGGATCCTTATATTCACTGGGATTACTCTGGGTATTCTGGAAAGATAGGAGATGGTATTAGGGGATCGGAGGAGTGGTTCCCAATTCCTTGGTGGGGGAGCAAGGAGAGAATGAACAACCAAGCCACAGATTCCTATCTCCAGAGAAAGGACACAGGCTCAGGGTTCCTGGTTGATCTCTAGGCTTTGCTACTTCTTCAACTTGTGTGACCTCCCTGAACCTCAGCCTCATCTACAGAAGGGAAGGACTCCCTCATGGTGTGTTTAGGAACTCAGGTCCTGGAGTGGGTCTGCAGTAGTCAGTTCTACTTTGGGCAAGCCATATAAATATATTAGAGGCCTGGTGCACAAAATTCGGGTGTGGGGTCCCCTCAGCCCGGCCTGTGCCCTCTTGCATTCCAGGAGCCCTCAGGGGATATCTGACTGATGGCTTAGGCTTGCTCCCGCCACTGCCGCTGTGCTCGCCAGCCACGAGCCAGTTCAGGGCTTCTGGCTGAGCGGTGCTCCCCCTCTGGCTGAGCGGTGCTCCCCCTGTGGGAGCTCCTGCGTTGAACGTCTGCCCCTTGGTGGTCAGTGCATGTCATAGTGACCGGTTGTTCCACTGTTTGGTTGATTTGCATACTAGCCTTTTTTGGTATAGGATATACTAGAGGCCTGGTGCACAGATTCATGCAACAGTGGTGTCCCTTAGCCTGGCCTGTGGCTCTCTGACATACCCAAAGGGGTCCCGGATTGTGAGAGGGCTCAGACCAGGCCGAGGGACCCAACCAGTGCACAGTTGGGGCTGGGAAGGGACTGTGGGATGGCTCTAGGATGTGTCCAGGCCGTCTCACCGTCTCACCCAGTCCCAATTGGCTGGAGCCAAGCAGCAAGGTAACCTACCAGTTGGAGCGCCTACTGTCAGGTGTGGTCAGTGCACATTACAGCGACTGGTCAAACAGTTGCTTAGGCATATATATATATACACATATATATGTATACACACACACACATATATATATATATACATATATATATGTAGCATATATATATATATATATGTGCTATATAATAAAAGGCAAATCGACCAAAGGGTGGAACAACTGGTCACTATGATGCACACTGACCACTAGGGGTCAGATGCTCAAAAATTTTGTGCACCAGGCCTTTAGTATATATCTATGTCTACTATATACTATATATATGTATAAAGATTATTTATTTTTAGAGAGAAGAAGGGAGAGAGAGACAGAAACAATGAAAGATGTGTGAGCAAAACATCTGGGAATTGAACTGGTACCCTTTTGGTGCACAGACCAGTGCTCAACCAACTGAGACACACTGGCCAGGGCGCCACTTATATTTGAGCTTCAGTTTCCTTTTTTGAAAGTTGGGAATAATAAAATAAATAATAAATTGGAATAATAATGGCACAAAGCAATGCATATTGGGGGTGGGGGTGGGGGTGGGAGTGGTCCTTTTAAGTCCTTAATCCTCTATGACCAGAGAGCATTTTACAATGTATTCTTTGCCTGCTTTTCCTGGTGCTTAACACTGTGCCAGGTACATGGGGACTGAGGCCAGAGTGTAGTAACCAAGTCACTTCTCAGCCCACAGTGAATGCCTCCAGACATGAACTTGTTGAATAGAAAGGCAGATGGGAGCCTGCATTTTTAAGAACTTTTATACATTTTAAAAGGTGGAATTCACAATAAAATCGACGATTTTAAAGGGAATGATTCAGTGTGGCATTTAGTATTCACAATGTTGTGCAACCATTATCTCTCGTTCCAAAACATTTCCATCACTCCAAAACGAACCACTTACTAATTAGTTTTCCCATCACTCTTCTCCCAGCCTCCGTCAACCACCAATCTGCTTCCTATTTTCTTTAGTATTTGTAAAAATAAAGACTAATTTACATTCGGTAAAATTCACACTTTTCGTTCTTGGTTGTGAGTTTTGACAAATGCGAACAGTTGTATAAACACCACCACAGTCACAATATAAAGTTCCCTCATCCCCAGTGTTCCCTCAGGTTCCTTTGTGGTCCACCCAGCTCCTGGGAACCATCGATCTATTCCTACAGGTTTTCCTTTTCCAAAATGTTGTAAATAGAATAATATAATATTTAGCCTTTTGAATCTGGATTCTTTTACTTAACATTGCAACTAAATGTGGGGGTACATCTAACTAAATTTACATAAGTTGACTAGGTGTCTGAAGAGAGGGACTTAGCTAGAATCTGGGCGGGGACGCCCCTTCCCAAGGCCAGTCCAGCGGCCCCAGGGGCTCTGTGAAGTTCCTAAGAGAGTCAACAGAGGGCGCTGCGGACCCGGAACACCTGGTTCCGTGGCTACAGGCCAGAGGCGGGGCTTAGGGTGGGGGCAGGAAAGTCCTCCCCCGCCGGACTTGCCTGGAGGCCGCAGGCGGTCTCACCAGTGGGCAGCGGAAGTCGGGGTACCGCCCCTGGCCCC